GCTCTTTAAGCCTTGGTTTTAGCTGTGAAAAATGGGGATGAAAATAACACCTGCCTCATAGAAAAACTGTGAGAAAAAAATAGGGTAATCCATGCGAATCACTCTGCACATTGCCAGCTGACAGCAAGCACCTGACGCTGCTGTGTGGTTGTTATAGCAACATGTCTCCGAGGATTTGAAGCTCTAGTGTTGGTCATTTTTTATTTCATTTTTCAAAATAAAATAAATTCTTAAGGTAAAACATTAACTACATACACTGTATAATATCATAGTTAAGACCACAAGCCAGAGAGGCTATTCAAATTGAAATCTCAGCTCCACCACCGATGACTGTAGAAACTTTGAAGGAAGAGCTTAAGTGCTTATGCCTCAGTTCCCTCATCTATAACCTGGGGATAATAAAAATACTTTCCTGGTACATTCTGAGTGGTCAATAAATGTCCTGGGAGAAAAGACACCAATCCAGGAAATTTAATTCTCCATATTCCACTTCAAGCCAGGAATTTGGCAGTTACCCTAGAATCTGATCACTCCCTCTCACATCCTACACACAGCCACTGCCAAGTTCTATTGCATCTTCCCCTAAATATCTCTTGTGTGCGACACCCTCTCACCACTGGCAGTCTTTGCTGGGTTCTGACGCTCAGTATTTCTGAGCCTGTATCACCATCACTCCTTCCTGACTGCTCTCCTAAATGCTGTCTTCAACACTGATGCTTGAGTGATGCTTCTAAACCATTAAGCTATTCAATCTCCTAGTCCTACCACCCCCATGAATCAGTTTCGGCCCCTCCCTCATTTGAGCAGGATAATCCCAACCCTGTAAAATCACCTGGCCCCTGACTATTTTTCAGCCCCTTTTCTTGACGTACACTCAAGTCCCCTCTGTTCTAGGAATTCCAAAAACAACATTTGCTTTCCTCACACCAATGTTCCCTCTACTTCCATCATTTAGAAATGGGATTCCTGTCCTGCTTGTCTATCTCGTCCACTCTCCCTCTGAGGCTCAGCTTCACTACAAACCTCCTCTGAACCCATCTGAGTTGAATTCTTTCTGTGGGTTCCTGTGGCTCCCTCTTCATACTCTGTGTAGGGAGCGAAATAGTGCACTTATCTTTCTCCTCCCTCTGCAGGGAACTAATGTACTGTTATAACCATGCCTTGTTCAGCTTTGTCTCCAACAATTAATGCGATGCCTGATCCACAGAAGTCATTCAATAAATGTTTGTAGAAAAAGTGGAGCAATGAATATTCATTCCTGCTCTGTCACAGAATAGCTGTATGAGTTTGACACCAATCGTAGAATTGCCATTTTATCTCAGTATATCCCTGTGTCAGTCATGTATACAGAAAGGGGGACTCCATAAATGCTTCCTTTTTTAGTATAAATTTCCTTAGGTCACCTCAAAGGTTTTCTTTTTTGTTTGTTTGTTGTTGTTTTATTGACAGGACATCCTATAAGCACACATGCATACATAATAAAAACACTTATTGAATAAATGAAGGTCAATTCTCCTAAAACTTATCACTACTGAAACATTTTAGTTTATATAAAGAGGGCAAAACACGTAGGTAAGTGGCACCAGAAGCCAGTGGCAACAAGGGAAGGGCAGGGGCTGAAGAGCATTCGTGACTTCTAATGCTCATGGGTTCATGGTAGCTGGGCCATCTACTGCCCAACACCTGTTAGCTGGGACACTGCTGGGTGCAGGAGATACAAAGAATTACTCTCTACAAGCTGCTTAGTGAGAGCCTGGATCCCATATTAACACACCCAAAGGCATCTGCCTACCTTTGGCGTGTCTCCCCTTGCTGCCAACCTAAGTAGCCCACCAGGAAAGGAGAGTAAAAGGGAAAAATATATCAGGAACAGGAAGAGCAATAGGAAGGTGTGGGCAAGAGATCTGTAAATGCAGTAGTTAAGAAACTTTTAAGCTAGATACTCATTGTAACTTTTTTTTTTTTTGCTTTAAGCTAGATAATTTGGTAATAAAAAGATTAAGGGTTCATCTACTTAGATGTGTTTCTTTTTTAACAAATAGGAAGATTTCCTTTTTTGTTTGTTTTTAATCATCACTGGAAGATATCTTTCTCTCTCTCTTTTTTTTTAAAGAGAGTGGAAGGGAGGGGGGAGAGGGAGGGAGGGAGGAAGGGAGGGAGAGGGAGAGAGAGAGAGAGAGAGAGAGAGAGAGACATCAATTTGAGAGCCTCCCATACTTGCCCCAAACAGGGCGGGAAATTGAGCCTGCAACCGAGGTATATGCCCTTGACCGGAATTGAACCTGGGACCCTTCAGTCTGCAGGGCCAATGCTCTAACCACTGATCCATACCAGCTAGGGCAGATTTCCTTTTCTTGACACTAATGTGGTGCCAAGAATAAAACACATCATTATTAATATTCAACTAATTATAAATTCCTAGACGTTTCCTATTTTTCACTGATAACAACTTACTCATGGTTATCAATATTCATAATAGACCAAATGTATAACTTACTGGGTTTTTAAAAAAAACTTCTGAAATGTGAATTCTAGGCTAAATGTTATGGTTTGGTTATAATCCTTGGTAATATCCCATACTGTATGATGCTGTGTCATGGAGCTATAAAAAAGATTCATCTGGGGCTTACTCAAACCTGAATTGCAGGGGCACCATGAACCAAATGTCTTCTTTTAGAAATTAGATGGTTTAGAAGTTTTTCCTAAACTTTTCTATTTGAGAATACTCACTATTACTTTTATGTAATTCAAAGATCCTAGAAGATATTTCTAAATATGAGCAAGAGTATCTATTCCCATAATAACCCACAGAATATTTAAAAGCACCTTTTGCAATTGACATGGGGCCTACAATATGGAGCAAAGTAACCCACACGCCTTACTTATGATCCTAGAAAAAGGTAGAAAAAAGAAATGCCACGTCAAAACAGTTCACTTTGTAGGGAATAAGAGTTATAGATGCTATACCGCTGAATGGAATCCTCCAACTAATCCTATCTTAACTTTGTACATAAAAAGGAGTCCATGAAATATCCATAGCTCATTTGACTATGACTATTAAATCTCCCCTAATACATGTAGCTTTGATAGGGAATATCCACTTTATACTGTGTTAAGAATTAACAAGTACAACAGCAATGGAGATTGATCCACTTTTTGGATCTACTCTGAGTGTCCTGAAAACAAAACACTGAAATCTGCTTGCACACTGACAATAGCGATATTGATATTCCCCCATGTTCCCTTCTGGTTGCTAAGAGATTGACATCAGGCAGACTCTGTTGTACTCCTAACAAAGCATTTTGGTCCACAAAGCATTTGCTTCAGCTCAGTTGAGTCCAGAAACTCCGCTTGCCTCACTCCTGTCCTATTGGCTTCCAAGTCAAACAGGGGCCCAGGCACCAGGGCAGCAGGCCTCCGCTGCTGCTGTAGGAACTGCTGTACATCACCTGGCTCAGCTAACGACTTACAGAGGCAATGACGACACCATGTCCTTATACAAATAGATGTACCTTTCCTCATGTTTCTCAGAAGCCAGTTTATCATGATGAGGGTGGGCAGAGGTGTGTGGAGGGGGGAAATCAATAGCGACCTACCCACAGACAAACCTAAGGCAATACAATTAGGCCAGAACCTAGCAAAATATGGCAATTTCATAACAGACCCCACTGTATGAGGCTTTGAAATATGCCTGCACAGAATTTCCTAACCTAAGTTTGAACTTCTGTGAAATATGTTTAAGAAGTTTATTGACAAGAACACTGAAGTGGGAACTACCTAAATTCATCACCTTGCGGCAAAGCAACTGCAGCCCTCCAAACTCAGTCTCGTGAAGTCCGCCATGTAACAAAAGGCGGAGGTGACTTCTATAGATCCCAACTCTAGAGAAAATGGCAAATGCACCAACAATATTCACGGTTGGCCCCGAGGAGAGGCTCATGGAGTGGGTGAAATCTGCATGTCATTTAGAAAGCACATGCACCACTGCTCGGAGCAAATGAAGATTATCTTTCCCTCGGGAATTCTCACAAAGAGACATAAAAATGGTTTATGACCTGGCTTCTGTATTCAGACCACAGAGTTTTCATCAATTTTTATTCATTGCCATGGAAGAAAATTGCTTTGGGGCCTCTCTCCCGGGCCGGTACCTAGGAGTCATATTTAAGGGCACAGCCACCCAACACTCAGTAATCAAACACCACTGACCTAGAAGATTCCTATTCTTTGCCCTGCCTGAGAATATCGGTAGGCGATGATCAATGCCCAGGCTTTGATTGAAAGCAATCAGTGTTGAAGGGCGCCAGTCCCTGCCAAGTCATGGGAATCCCTACATTCAAGTTGATCACTCTCACCCAGCAGAGAAAAAACAAGCCCCTGTGGTTTTAGCTGTATTTAACAAAAGAAAGTTATTTCTAGCAGCTTCTTTTCATTGCACAACCTGACGAAAAGCACCCCATCACAATAAGAGGCAGAAGGGAAGAAAAAGGGGGGGAAAAAGAACAAACGCAAAGCAGGAAATGACTGTTTCTGCTACCTCCTTCAGGGTACAGATCTGCCTGAGCCACACACATGTGACACAGTTCTAGCACAAAAGCTCCCTTTCCGAGGACAGACCTCTCAGGAGTCAAAGCCTGGCTGCCTGGCCTCTCCCTCAAGCCCAAGTCCCTGCAGTCCATGTAACCTTGGCTGGGCTGCAAAGAAACTACTTTGAACTCCCGTGCACACCTTTCTGTGCCATGGAAACATGCCGGTGCCTGTGCAGAGTGAAAGCACCCCTTCCTTCCGCATCAGCACTGCAATCACCCCACGCGGGGCAGGCTCTCCCCTCGCCTTGCCCATCCGTCGGCCATAGGACTGTATCATCTGTTCCCAATTTACACACCCAGTTCCCACTCCACACAGCATGCAGAAAGAGCCCTTCCTGCTTCTCACATTTGCGGGGAAGAGATGAAAAGAGAAAAGAGGCCAGGCAAGATGTGTGCCCTGGCGCACATAGCTACCTTTTTCTTCCGATCCCGGGACCGTTTGCGGTGTTTCTTTTTTTTCTCGGTCTCTTCCTCGGCATTGATTTCTAAATCCCTGTTTTTCTTTAACTGTGAGGCCGCATGAGCCATAATGCATTGAAAAGGATCCTCTCAAGCAGGCAGGGCTTCCCGGCAAAAGGTGATATCCTCAGGCACCTCTGATCAGGCTCGCAGCAGCCTTCCCATCACGGGAGAGAAACCTCTCACCAGAAGCAGGCAGACTTCCAAAATGCCAAGATGCTGTGGACGCTGAGGCTTTTAAAAACCCAGAGGACGGTTTCCAGGCTTCATCCTACACCTTCCTCTACCTGAGCCTTCCCACGAGGGTGCAGCCATTGTAATGCATGGACCGGAGTGGAGAGGCAGCTGGGACAGAGGAAGCTGTATTATGGCTGTGTCCCCTGCCACCAGCTGGAAGTGTCTAAGTGATTCCTCGGAAGGGGGAACGATGCAAAGGATGCTTCTCCGGAGGGAAAAAATCAAGAGTCACCACTCATGCAGGAGCAACAGCCCAGCACTGATTCTGAAAACCTATTTTAGAATCCTGCGAGAAAAAAGACAGGGCTGCAATTTAAGCCTCACCACTAGATCTGCACAGAGCATAGTTTAACCCATAGCAGAATGGAGCGGGTCCTACTTCAGCTTAACTGCTGATGGTGATAAAATATCTGAAATGAGATTTCACAAAATACACGAAATTTTGCGGTGGGGATCCCGACTGCATTATGGGGAAAACAATGCATGCATTGCTGGTCTCCACAGTGCATCCTTTATGCTGAACTATGAGCCTACATGCATTTTGAGGGAGAGGACTACAGAAGGGCCTGTTGTCTTTTTAAAAACAACATGCTGATTACAACACATCACACAGAGAGACGTGCGCATGTTGGTGTATGGAACAGATGCCTGATTCAGAGGAGCTCCCCAGGACTCGCCTCGCATGTGCTCCGAGGGTCAGAGGACGGGGGACCTGGGCTGTAATCAGGGTTTCTGAGTCGCTGAAATGCAGATTGGCTTTCATGTTGGGGTTTGCTTCAATCACCTTACTATTTTTGCCACCTGAGTCCTCAATGACTGCAGCCTCTGAATATTCATGATGTGAAGTGAAGCAGCAGCAATGCACAAGGCCTGCTGGGGTATCTTCCGCTAGGCTGCACGCACTGGAAGAAATTTAATAAGTCAGGAATACACACACACACACACACACACACACACACACACACACACAGTATTCACATGGCTTTAGCGAGAAATGGCTGAAATATCAGACTGGACCTATATTTGGGTCCCGATAAGAAGCCCTACATTCACTGAGAAAATGAGCAGAATAAAAAAAAAATGATGATTTTGTTGAAAACTATGTGTGCTTCCAATACCCAAAGTCCAGAACTTTGGGAATCAGTGCATTTGACTCTGCAGGGCTGACTGATGCAGGGTGTGAGGCCAGAGCAAAAGGTCCAAAGGGGATGTGGGGGCTCCTCTGGAGGTGCTATTCACTGACTTCACAAAGAGCCCCCAGTGTGAGTTCCCGCAAGCAACTACACACTGTACTTCTGATTTGGAAGGCACTTCCCCTCCTAAGGGGCTTCACAATTTCTGCCAGGCAGCGAGAGGGGAAGGAAGGGAAAGGTATGGGGACCATGGCCATTGCAGTCCCACTACAAGTGGACTGCACTCTCCTCTCGGCCTCACCGTGACCCACATAAAAACCACTCTGGTCAAACAGTTCCTGAGGACCTACTGTGTGCACAGGTGCTCCTGTTCTTACTTCCCCCCCAGAAACTCTCTTCAGGAAGAAAGCATCCCAGAAAGGTTCTCATTGCCCATGAAACCATCACCAGACAGAAAGGAGGGGAAAATGAAGGTGCGGAATTAAATGAAACTCAGATCCGAAAGCAACAAACCATATTGGGATCTTCATAGAAAAATAAGTTTTTCTACCAGGATTTTTAAATTGTAAGAGTAATAGGATGGAGAAAAGAAAAAAAATAAAACTTTGGTATGCTTTCTTCCTTTGTAAAATCATTCCGTACTTTTGCGGAACATTCATCCAATTTCATTCCTTATTCTCAGCAACTTGAAGAGGACCGCCAGCTCAAAACCTGGCTGGTGTCCCATTGGCTCTGGACCTTCTTTTTTCTTCCTTTATAGACACTAATGAGACTTTAAAATATGTTTCTAAGGACGCCTGATCAAGGTTAACTTGTCCACCTGCGGCTGGCACAGCTATACTTTCCCATTGACCTCTACCAGCCAGAGCGCAGCTGGAAACTAGAAAAACGGGCCACGGGTATTTTTCAACACACTTCTCTCTAGAATAATTCTTTGCCTCCCCAGAATGTTCAGAAGTTGAGAATCCATCGCCAATTTTAAGCTGTCATAATATGAATTTTTTTTTGTTATGTTGGATCTGCAGTATGTCAGTAAGTGATCAGCTAATCTAAGCTTGTTTAGATTTTTTTCTTACAGAAAACATGGGCATTTGTCCTCCATGTTGAAACCAGAAGAACTTCTAAGAGTGACCGTGCCAAGGGAGGCAGCCCTGTGGGTCCAGGATTGAGATTGTGATGTTACTAGGGCAGCCGTGGGCAAACTACGGCCCGCAGGCCGGATCCGGCCCGTTTGA